TGGCGCGGCTCCATCTCTAGTTGTAACTAATGTCGAACAGCTGTATGTCCGCTCATGGGGGATATACGCAGATACTGTTTTATGTGTATGTTGCTGATATATATTAGTAAGCATGGTAAAATGTATTTTATTTCGTGGAATAAATGTTGGACTCTCGAGTACGTTGGATGGTACCTGTGGTTAACAGTAGAGGTGTGTTGGAAGTTACGTTGTGGCGGATTGGCTCATAAATTGGTAAGCATGTGTAGTTATTTATTACCTTTGCTTAGGGTTAATATGGTAGATTAAAGTTACAGATAGTTTGGAAATATGTAGGTTTGAGGTATGGATTTAGGTATAATAAAATATGGCGTTAAGCCATATGACGTAACTAGGGCAAATAAATTGCGTTTAGTTTGAAAATATTAGGTAAATAGGGGTTGGTGAGTTTAGCTTAAATTCAGGCTGGCTACAGTGGCTAATTTAGTATTGGCTGCTCAGAGGGCAAGCGACTGGTTGTACATAATGGGTAAGACGGAAGGAGAGGGGGGGGAGGGGAAATAATTGAGGTAGGTGCTAGACGCGTTTAAAGTGATTTTAAATGAGCCGCTTCCATCAGAATAAATATAATAGAAAGGTGTAATTAGAAAGATAGGTATAGTATGGATAGGAGTGAATCATTGACATGTATATTTGCCGCAGGTGTTAACTGAGTAGTTTCAGGTAATGGGCGACTGGCAGCACACGTGGACCTTGTCAGGCAGTACAAGCTCCTAACACCCAGCGAGAGGTGTCAAGTTGATGACTAGTGGCAAGAGTTGTGGAATAAACGGATTGTCGTTGTACTGAAAAAGCGTGGTGTGGTGTACGTTCGGCGCTGACCTGTTAAGGTGAGAATAGGGACACAGAGCCTGCTAATAGTAGTAATGGTAACAGCACTTAGAATGTTGTATGGGGCTTATAAATAAGCCTTATATACCTTATAAATATATCTAATAATATATATTTTATATACCTTCCAAAACCTTATAAAACCTTATATATAAGCCAAGGCAGTAAACGTAAATTGAAGGAAGTGAGTTTGTGTTATAAGACAATCGTAAAGTTCGGTTTGATTAGAGGTATAGTAAGTGCTTAGAAGAAATAGCATTTGAATGAAATTGAAGTATAGAAATTTAGCGTTTTGGTTTATTTCAATGATTCCATTTTCATAGAGTATTAGATGTCTATTATAGATGAAATAGGTGGTTGGTATTTGTAGGCACAGTGGTAAGTACGTAATTAAAGTAGCGTTGATGAGAACTGGAAAAATTGTAGGTAGTTATAGGGGGGTGATGCAAAATAAAGTATATACCATATAAAGGTGCTATGTTTAAGAATAGTTTGGCAATTTGTTGTGAAGGATGTTTGTCTAAGGTAATAGTAATGAACAGTGGGAGTGAGTGAAGTTTCACAGCAATTGTGATGAATGACAAAAATGTTCATTGCCCTGCCATTTAACATTTCTAGAAATGGGAATGCTAATGTTGCGGGAAGTTCGTTTTCGTGTTAACTTGGTAATTATTAAGGTAATCGTTGATGTATTTGTTAACCATGTATTGTCAGATAGTGGCATGTTGCCGATAAGATTGGGGTGCAATGACAATTAGGGGAGTAATGGGGTTCATTTGTGGTTGAGTGTCTATTTTCCATGTTGTCTACCGAGTAGGTATAGAGAGCGAGAGCGTCCAAATGCTCCATTGTATGTATGTTTCATAGGTGTTTAAATAGTTGAATAACATAGGTGTAACTGGCAGAACGGTGATGTATATTGAAATAATATTAATGAAAGTTTTAAAGTGTTTGGGTTACGTGGGTACATAATTTTATGTATGACTGGGGAGACTTGACACGTTGTGTTGTTGTCGAGGGATACCTAAATTTACTTGAGGCTCTGGAAGTACATATATGGTACTAATAAAAATATTTATAAATTAACCCATTATTAGTGTCATTATTAATAGTTTAAGCGTGACGTTAGTAATAGAAGGGGGGGGGGTGTCGGTGAAATATTTAAAAATGAATGTTGAATTGAGGGGGATGTATCGCTTCGACAAATGGTTGAATAATGTTAGACATGACAGTCGTAGCACTATTTGTTGGTTATTGCGTAGGTAGATGGTGGGTGTTGTGGATATGCTCATAATTGGTGGTGGTGGTAAGGAATTGCGTATATCGATCATGATAGGGGTGTGTTCCAGTAGTGAAGGGATAAGTATTTAGTATAGGTAGTTTATTGTGCACTGCATATTGGTGTGAGCGGTAGCGCGAAAGCACTATAAATTGCACCAAAGTTAATTGAGACGTCATGTTGTACTAGTAAATAAAGTACTACTTTGACGTTAGTTAGATGTGGGCTAATAGTGTTCAAATACAAGATACTATATAATTATAGTGTTCATACATTAATGATGTGTTATCGCTAATACACATGTTTGAGGAATGGTGATAGGGTAAGTGGTGTTTAATAATGTTTGTTGAGATTGTCATTTATGTAGTTGAAGGTAAATATGGAAGGAGTGCAATGATTGAAGGTATTTTAGCGTGTTGTTCGAATGCATTTGTAAATGGGTGAATTTTAGCACCATGGAGGATAGTTTGAATTTTTAAGACACAAAGTTGACTTGATGTAGATAGAAGCGTAAGTGGCAGATACAGTATAGTTGAGCACAAGTGTTCTTTGAGGTGTGATAACATGTTCATTTGTTGCTTTGCCCATACATGTTTTAATTCACATTTTGGGGGAAGTAGAAGGGTGTGTGATATGTTGAGTAGCTAGAAGTAGCTATGTAAGTAGCTAGAAGAGAATCTGAGTTACTTATTGGTGAGCGTAATGGTAATAGTTGTTTATTGTGTGGAGTTGAAATTTGATGAATAATGAAATGTGTAGTGCATGGGAAGAGGCATATGTTTTCCGTGGAACATTAGGGTGTGTTAATGATTGGTGATAAAAGTAACCCCCCCCTATTGGTGGTGGTTGACAAATGGGGATTGCATGTTGGGTAACGATAGATTTAATGGGATGGTGCGCACGAGGACAAAAGGCAAAGTGTAGTGAAGAAAATAGTGTGTAGGTTTGCAATGGTATGTATACCACAAGTGTTGTTGACCATCAACAGGTAGATATAGTGTGTAAAGAAATGTAGGACTCGTCAGAGGTGTAAAACATGTTTTGTAGTTGATATGAGGAGAAATGTCGTAAATGGCTTGATATGAGAATGAATGTATCTCCAAAACTTTGGGTCTAATTATACTGATATAATGTGTAGCTTAAGACATGTTTGGTTTTGAGTGATTGGGTGGGTGTAGGGGTTTAACATTAAATGTTAGATACTTATCCATGCAGTAATTGTTTAATTTCATTGGCAGGGGCTGGGTGGGCGGAAGACGTGAAGTTTGTGTTTGGAACATCACCCACGTCGTCGTCTCGAGTATGAATGGACTAGTCATTGCCGTGCAGGCTGTTATTGGGAAAGGTTAGCGAGCTATAGTTTAAGAATGTATTTTGTGTATGAATCGTGTAGACATAAATTTGTCTACACGCATAATGCTGGAAGTACCAGTTGTAGTAAATAGTGAAAAAAGTGAGATGGGTGTTTATTGAGATTGACGTAAGGGTAGTTGTTTGAAAAGGGGATTGTTTATTAAATATATTGTTTGGGGTTCGTGGTTCTGACAAAAATTATGAATGAGGATGTTAGTTATATTGTTGAATTTGTAATTGAATGTGAGAGAAAATAGATTGTATCGTTTTATTAAAGTTGGAAAGGATAAATTTGATTCATTGTTATGCTTAGATGAATGTGTGTATTTTTTGTATGAGTTAGGTTAACATGTTGGTATGAAATGTGTTGCGCGATGGGAGGGAAACAAGTGGTTGTCAAGTAGGTTATAATTGTTTGAGGTGTGGGGTGTTTTGAGTTGTAATGCATGACTAACATGTTTGGAATATTTGGGGTACATGAAAGTAGGTTTTTTATGGCAAAATGTCATACATTGAGTAATAATAATGTGATATTTATCGAAGATTGGGTGTGTATTTGAGAAGGGAATGGTGATAAGGTATGTTTATGGTATATAGAATGTTGAGTATAAGGTAGTTACGTGGTGAGGAGGTAGAGTACGTTTGAGGGTAACACGTTGATAGGACCGTGTGGGGCTGCAGGCTCGAGTGTTGCATACGTAATATGTCATATACGCGAGATATATGTAACAATTGTACTCGAGTATAATTGAAGTTTGTATGTGCGGCATAAATGTTTATTAGTTATCGTCGAGACTTAGTTTTACATTTATATATAAAAGTTGCATATCAGAGAATGTGTTTTGAGGAAATGAGGTAGATGTAGGTGGCAATAAGTGGTGTTGTGAATATAAAATGTACATGGAATATGGAAGAATTGATACATATTTTTGTGTGAATTAAGAAACGAAATAGATTTGAATAGGTTTGCATTGTAGGTAACATTTGTCTAGAATGTAAATGGTGGTTAAGTATTGGTAGGTTATTGACTACAAATGAGTATAATATATTGTGTAGACTAAGAAGTGTGTGTGGTTGGAGGAAGTTTCATTATAATAAATATAAAGTTGAAAATAAAGAATAATTTGTTTCAGATAGCGAGTGGTGAGGAGGAATACTTTACAGGATGAGCTGAGCTGAGATCGTAGCAGCAGTTGTGAAGATTACATCAGTAATACTGGGAAGATGTGGATAAGGCGACGAGAACCTGAGGTGTATAGAAATGGAACGTGGACGTTATATAATTGATTGTTCTTTCAACATAGTTGAAATCAGAGAAGACTTGTGTAGAAAAACGTTAGTAGGCAGAGTATTGAGAAATGTAGTTGGAGATATAATTGAAGACAGGAATGAAGTAATATGAATTGTTTGCAGTTATGTGATAAACGTGAATAGTAATCGAAAAAAGTAGTTATAATGCGTGGTAGGAGATTGAATTGAGATTGAATTGAATTTTTTTTAGAGATGTTAACATATAATATAATATTATTAATATAATATATTATATAATATATTATATTAATATATATTATAATTATATAACATATATTATATAACATATAATAGTGTGTAATATATAAAAACAATAAATACATATATAGTAAATACAAGACATTTATATAAAAACTTTTGTTATTGTATAATACCAGAAAAAAAAGATAGGATATTTTATCTATCTAATCTTATTTGTGTGTATATATCATAGAAAATAGATATATTAAAGATTGATAAAATATATATTGTCAATGTTCATTGTTTGAAAAGTTCATCGTTGATCGCTTTGACAGTGTTCCATTGGAGTTCGCATATTGCATAGCTATATTATATATTTTATGTATTACATATATATATATTTGAAATATATATCACATTTATAATATGTTGTGTAATATACAATTAAGATATCTCATATTACTCAGTTTATAAACTATGAAATCTCTCACATACATCTGTCTGCTGTATATTATACACTACGTACATGTAATATTCAATATTATGTGTTTGCTGATTTAGTTTATTTTTCGTCTAATTAATGTAACATTTGTATACACCATATAATGTGTGTTTACCACTTCATATATAAATTTCATTGTGTATTGTCATATGTATATCAGATAGATAATAATACATATCAGATATTTTTATATAGACTTTAGGAATAGTATAGAAAAATTATGTAAATATATCACACATTCTATATTCTTTTCCCCATCCTACCCCCTCCCCGCTCAGCTCGTTGTCGCCGTGTGGGGGCTTAGTGGGCGGCTGCCGGAGTGTGATGCTCCTTGGGACAGTCCTCTGTCCTTTTCTAGCCTTGTGCTCCTGCTGCCGTCCTCTCCAATTCTGCTGGGCATCTTTTCCTTTTCCTTGTGTTTCGTTTTTCTCCCCCCTCTTCTCCTATCTGCTTGCCGTTTCCTGCCGACCTTTTGCTCGTTCTGGTTCTTCCCTTGGACTTCTTCTATTTTGACGCCCGGGTGCTTGAGGAGGCATACTCTTGCACCCGTAGAACTGCAGTACCCGACGTCGAGAGCGAGGGGAACCTTTTATTGTCAATCCCCACTTCGTCACTGAACCCGATCTCGACGGACTGTCGGTTTCTTAAGGTGGCGTTTGTGGGGCGTATACTCACGACGCACCCCTAGGAGGCCCCGACATGATCGGCGATAGCTTCTTGTTGGGTGTCCTGCCTCTAATTGTGGCTCCATGGTGGGTGTGGGGGCACATTCGTGAGTGAATTCTTCTTTTCATCAAGATGACAACCCCTGTTTTGGCTTCTTCTGGTTTACCTTCTCAGGCTCGTGGGGTGGGCGACCAAGCCCCCGAGTCGGTCCGTATTGGAAGACCGGGCTCTGTAGCCTCCGCTGCATCGGGCCCCGACCTTGCTCCTCTTTTGGCCTCTCTGACTCCTTCCCCTGGCTCCCCTCCCTCCTCTGTGGTTGGGTCGAGCCCCAAGCCCCCAGTGGTGACTACCTCGTCCCCTGGCGCGGCTCCTTCTCTAGTTGTAACTACTGCGCCTTTTAACCCCTCTCTCTCTGGGGGTTCTCACCGCCGTCCTCGTCACGGCCACCCTCGCTCGATTCCTTCCAGTTCTGCTACCTATCAAGCCTTGTTTGGTCCCGCTTCGTGGGCCAAATATTTTGATCTCCTCCCTCTTGATTCTGCGCCTCCTGACGATTTCTCCCTCCATCGACATCTCATTGATTCCGTGGATGCCTCCATTACTTTCAACCCCACTCGTCTCGGTACACGTGTCGTTGCTGCTCCTTCTCAGGATGCTGCTTCCCGCTTGGCTGCCTTATCCTGCCTTGGCGAGACCCCCGTTCGGGTCTCGAAGAACGCTCAGTTGAATGCCAGTGTTGGCACTATTTTGCTCCCGCCCCATGTTGCGACCGGTGTTCGGGACCTGCGCGACTGCCACGACGATATTCGACATATCCTCGCTGCCCAGGGCCATTCTATTCTCCAAGTGGACACGTTTACTCGTCCCCCTCGTGGTAGTCGCCGTCAACCCCTCCGGGTTGTGAAGATTACCTTTGATGGTAGGACCCTTCCACCCTCTGTCATTCTTGCTGGTGCCAGGTGCTCTGTCCAGGAGTACATTCCTTCTCGGCTCTGCAACAAGTGCTGGAGGTTTGGGCATGGTGCCCTCCGCTGCTTCGGGACTGTCTCTCTCTGTCCTTTGTGTGGTGGCGAAGGTCACTCTAAGTCGGAGTGCACTTCTCCCCAGGCTCGTTGCCTCAACTGCGGTGAGGCCCATCCTACCTTCTCCCGTGCGTGTGTCCATTACAAGCTTGAGGCAGCCGTCCGCAACCTGAAGCACCGGGAGCGTTTATCTTTTCCTGAGGCGAGGCGCCAGGTTCGCCGGCTCCCGCCTTATGCTAATATCTCTTATGCACGCGTGTTGCGCTCTTCCTCTCCTCGTCCTTCCCGCCTTCCTCAGACTCACAACCGTTTCCGGGCCTTGGACCCTGATGCGCCCACTGCCCCCCTCCTCTGTTCCTTTGGGTTCTCTCCCGAAGGTTCCTCCTCCTAGTCCTCTGTCTGGGGTTCCCCTTCCTTCTACCCGGTCTGTCGTGTCTTCTGTGTCTTCTTCCTCGTCCCCCTCCGATCCTCCGTCCCATCCTCTTCCTCCATCTATCGGCTCTCCCCACCGCCTGTCGGTGCGGGCGGATGTCCATCGCTCTCCTAACGGCCGTCGTGTGTGCTCTCGTTCGGCTTCTCCTGTTGAGACACTGGAATCCGTTGCCCGGTACGTAGTTGCTGGGACACCGGTCTCTTTAAGTCAGAAGCGTAAGCCTGGCTCCTCTCCTTCCTCTTCCCCGGCGGGTAAGAAGGCTTCGCTTTCTTCCTCAGCTCCTCCTCCTGGCTCTGTTGCTCCTTCCCCTCCCGTTTCAGTGCTTGCGCCCCCTGTTCCTGCTATGGAGGTTTCTTTGGCCCCTGCTTCCCTTTCGGTTGCTGCTCTTGCTGGGGTGCGCTCCCCTCTTTCTACTCCCCCTCCTCCTGCTGCTGTCCTTGACTGCTCCTCTCCGTTGTCTCCTCCTCTTCCTCCTCCTCCTCCTCCGGACCCTGCCCGCCCACCTCTGATCTGTTCTCCCGTTTCCTTCCCTCCGTCTTTGCTCAGTTTACCCATGCCCCCTAACCCTGACTTTGCTGACCCTGATCCCGACCCTGATATTCTTTAACGTGCTCTGTTGCTCTTTCGCCTTTGTTTCTTCCTTGTTCTCTGTTTTTGTCCTTTCTCTTCTCGTCGTTGTCCATTCTTCAATGGACCGTTCGAGGTTATTACGCCAATTTCCTCGAACTCCAACTTCTGATTTCGCGGTTTTCGCCCCTTTGTGTCTGTCTCCAGGAGCCAATGCTTGGTGCTCGTCCTGGTCGTTTTCGTGGCTATTCCTTTCTCTCCCCCCCCCAGCCATTGCTGGGGCTTCTAATTCTTCTGCTCTCTTGATTCGGGCTGATGTTCCCTTTGTTCCTTTACTTTTTCCTTCGCCTCTCCATTGTTCTGCTGCTCGTATCTTTGTGGGGAAATGGTACACAGTTTGTTCCATTTATCTCCCCCCGAGTGTCCCGCTCTCTCTTCCTGATTTGAAACACCTCCTGGACTCCTTGCCGGAGCCTGTGCTCCTGCTGGGTGACTTCAATTGTCGTCATTCTCTTTGGGGTGACGTTCTGACGAATACCCGGGGTCGCCTCCTTGAGCCGTTTCTCCTCTCTTCTTCCCTGTCTCTTCTGAATTCTGGTGAGCCCACTCATTTGGACTCTCGGACTCGCACCCTTTCTTGTCTTGATCTTTCTCTCTGCTCTTCTTCTCTTTACTTAGATTTCACGTGGCAGGTTCTTGATGACCTCCATGGTAGTGATCATTTCCCCATCCTTGTTTCCTTTTTCTCTTTTCGCCCTTCCTTCTCTTTCCCTAGGTGGCAGTTTGCTAAGGCAGACTGGACCCTATTTACCCTCAGTGCTGCTCTCCCTGACCTCTCCCTTCTGCCTCTCTCTCGCGCTCTCCTCCTTTTTCATGACACTGTCTTCAACGCTGCCCTCCGCTCTATTCCTCGCTCTTCCTCTCGGGGTCCACGGAAGTGCGTTCCCTGGTGGAATGCGGACTGTGCTCGGGCTGTCCGCTGTAAGCGTGCAGCCTGGAAGAGGCACCGCCGTAGGCAGACGTCCGATTCTTTTCTTTTCTTTCGGAAAGCGAGTGCGGTGGCCCGTAGGGCCATCCGTACGGCTAAACGTGAATGTTGGGCATCTTATGTCTCAACAATTACGTCCGAGACCCCTCTGGCCCAGATCTGGAAGCGTATCCGCAAGATAGCGGGTAAGTTCGTTCCCGATGTTTCACCGGTCCTTCACCTCCATGATACTCTTGTGGCGGACCCGTTGCAGGTCGCTTCCGAACTGGGTTCCCACTTTTCTTCTGTTAGCTCTGGTCTTCATCTTCCCCAATCTTTCCTTCTTCGTAAACCTGTCCTTGAGTCTCGTCCTTTAGATTTCTGCACTCATCTTCAGCTTCCCTATAATGATCCCTTCTCTCTCTCTGAACTTCGTTCTGCCCTGGCCCTCTGCGGTTCTACGGCGGCGGGCTCCGATGGTATTCATTATGAGATGCTTCGCCATCTCCCTCCGAGCACGTCTCAGTATTTACTGAGTCTGTATAATCGGATCTGGGAGTCGTCGTCAGTCCCTGAGGACTGGCTCGATGCCGTTGTCCTCCCTGTTCGCAAACCGGGGTCTCTGGGTACTTCCCCTAAGGACTTTCGCCTTATTGCTCTCACAAGTTGTGTCTGCAAACTCTTTGAACGTATGGTTAACGTTCGTCTGATGTGGTTCCTGGAACACCATCACCACCTCTCCCCTTCTCAATTTGGTTTCCGCAAGTGCCGCAGCACGACAGATGTCCTGGTGAACTTGGAGGTCTATATTCGTACTGCTTTTGCTGCGAAGACCTCCGTTGTTGCCGTC